ATCTACCCAAACTTTTTTCGGCTGTTTTGTTTTTATCATATGTTTGAATGCTTCCGCAGTTGAGGTGGCATACTTTGATTTCAATGGTTGTACACGTAGAAAGCGGGACATGCAATCCACTGCAACCATAAGATATTTAATGTTTTTGTTGTAATCTGCAAGTTTATCAACATACGCCAGGTCAATTGACCATATTTCGTCTATGTCATAAACTATCACTTTGAGGCGTGGTGTTTTGCGACGAACTGTTCGATATTTTGTATATGCTGGCTCTGTATGTAAAAAACGTTTCACTTTACTTCGTGAAATTTTTGATTCCTCTTTTAAATTCTGTACACTGCCAAACAATGCTGGACCTTTACTTGTAAATTTAGTTTTCAATATTTTTTCTTCAGCTGGTGTAATCTTGCCATTTTTTGTTTGTTTTTGTCTTCTTCTTCTCTGTCGTTGCAGAATCTGAATCGTTATCGGGCGTTTCGTACGACTCGGAGTCTTCTTCTTCTGCTGCACCTTCTTCTCGTTTGGTTTTTTGCGGTGACCGTTCTCTTTCACTGTCTGCAACAGTCTTTCTGGTTTTGCGTCTCTTACTGCTTTTTGAGGTGGCACTTCTTGACGTCGTCGACGACGACGACGAAGGTTTCTTCTCGGGAGAAAGGAGGAGGAGGGCTGTAGATTTCGAAGGGGAATTTGTGGAACGTCTGCTTCTTTGCTTCTGTTGAGCTTGTTCCGTATTCGTTGACTGAACCGCGACTTTGGCATACTTGTTCATAACCAACCGTTCATCAAGTTTGAGTGACCTCAAAATCAGTATAAAAGCAGGGTTGTAAAGTTTTTTAGTTTGTTGTTGTATATCAAACAGAAAAACTGATGCTTTAAGACCTGTTGGCACTTTATCAACGTAAATTTCTTCATTATCTTTATTTATTTTGACTCGTTCTGACTTTTTAATAACTTCAAGAACTTTTTTTGCTCGCTTAAATTTGTGTTCATTCATGAGCTGTAATTGTAACAGGATACGTTCTGTGGATAATGCCTCACTAAGCTCAACACTTTTTTCCATCTCGTTACCTTCATCATCATCATCATCATCATCATCATCATCACCATCATCATCATCATCATCGTCTTGAGAAGTGAGAGGGAGAGCTTGTTTTTGTGGATTGTTTTCTGCTTTGGCAACAATAGGTGGTTCAGGGGTTGGGGGAATGACTGCTGGCGAAACAATAGCTGATGTTGTTGTTGTTCTTGCTGATTCATTTAGTGGTCTCAAACGGTTCAAAAATGATAGTTGCGGTTTCTTGTGTTTACTTGAGTTGTCAAGCAAAATATGTGCTGCATGTGGTTGATCTCTGATGTACATATGCTTTGGAATTAGAACAAATTCTTCTGCTGCCATTTCTATGCAGTCAAATACTTGAAGCAAAAATAAAGTATTTGTCTGATTAGATAAAATCCTTGTTTGCTCAGTATAATAGCTCGTTTTTTTTCAGGACTCGTTTTCGGATTGATTAAAATTTTGTATGCTGTTTCGAATTTATTGAGGTTTGGAATACTGACAGGCACATTTCCGTTGACTACATTGAGCAAGCAATCACAACAACTGATATGATTTGACTATTTGATGTTTTTTTTTCTAATGAAGCCTCGTAGTTGAGTTGGGTTCAACTGTACCATGTGCTGCAGAATAAATAATTTTTTCGCGTTCATTTGTGATGGGTGTCACTTCTGCTTTATCTAAAGGTAAATAGAAAATTGACGGACCAGGTGGTATTATGTTTGAACAGTATCTGAGACAGTCTGATGTTCGGGGATCTAAATCTATTAATAGATGTCCGAAGCTGTCCTTTGTAGCCAGTTCATACGATTGACGTAAGAATTTAGGTGCATTAAGTTGCCTTCCGAGATGATCAAGTTGCTGAATATCACGAGGTGATTTGAATAAAATGATGTGAGATGTGTTCAAATCAATAGTTCGGGACCATCGGCTTTGTTGGAATAAATTATGTTTAACATAAATAACATCTAAGCCCCTGTGTCTTCCTGCTGTTGCTAATTTAACGAATTCTTTATCATTGTATATTTCTTCGCATGAGTCATCAAACACTAACAGAATGTTTTCAATGTTTCTCAAACGATCGAATCCGTCAAATTTTACAAATTCAATATGAATTCTGCGAGCGTTTAACTCGTCCATAACTACAGGTTGAATATCTTTGTAAAAAAATAACACTCTTTCAAATTTGGGATAAAATGATCTTCCTGTCAATAGCTTGAAAATCAACTCTGTTTTTCCGGATCCTGACGGTCCTACAACTGCCATAAACAGTCTTGTCGACGTATCAATAATTTTATTCATATCCTTGGGTTTGGTAGCACGTACCCAACTAAACCAGACAATATTGAAAACCAAACTGACGTTTCTTCACAGCTTATTTGCGTCCAAGAAAGTTTTAAGATGCAAAAAGTAAGTAAAATGAAAATTAAAATCATTTGAGACATAAAAACTACTTCTGATCTGGGGACTGTAACATCATTACAAAACTTCCAAGATTTTTGTTCAGTGTTTGTTTGATCATAAGCAAAATCTGTAACTATAGTAGCATCAGGCTCATCAATAGCTATTTCAGTCATTCAGTTGTTCGATTTATATTTCTCTCTCTAACTGATTCTTTCTAACTCCTCTCTATCTATAACACTAGTTTCTTAATGAGAATGAAAAAAATGTGTTCTTGTCATAAAATATGTATTATCTATACTTCAGAACAACAAAAAATCTCGTATCGAGTATAACTTCTAGAGTCATTAGTTATGTCATTGTCATTGTCATTGTCATGCAGCATTTCCACAACATAATTGGCTGGCACATATTCAGTTTTTGCATGAAATACAACTTTCTTTACAGAGTTCTCTTTTACTAGTTTCTGAACTTCCTCAGGTAGGTCACTGCTTTGAAGATCCATTTGAACTCCGGGTTGACGTTTGGGCACTAAGACTAGCCTGGGAAGACATACTCCTCGTTTGTTGGCCAACATTTTGACTAAACTTGTGTCGTTGAAAATAGATGAATTGGTCAATCACTGGGAAAAAATTTCTTAAAATAGTCAATTCGTCTCCTGAGAGAGTAATTTGTCCTTTCCGCTGCACAACTTGACCTCGGCAATTGATTTGTTCTGTTCTGGTCAAAGTTACTTTGATATCACTCTCTGGTGTCATCCAAGCCAAGAACACTAAATTTGGAGATAGGTACGTCTCCGCTTTTGCTAGTCTTTCGTTGTTGCTCATTTGTCAGCCAATCAAAAAAAACCTTCGTTTTTTTCAGGGAACAGTGATTCCTAGAGTTATAATTAGGTTGTAAATGTCTATTGCAGGATGGATAATTCTTTAAATGTAAGTTTTCAATTCTCGGGCAACCCAATTCATCAAGATTCACAACTTCTCGATCCAAGTACTTTGCAAGGAGTTCAGCCTTCTCTTTTCCTTTGGCGTAAAATACAGCGTTAGGATTTCTCAAAACAAAACTTTGAATAATCTGATTTAGGTTTAAATATAAATAATCTCCGCTTTCCCAGTTAATTCCGTGCAAGTATTGTGTTAACCAGTTGTACGCTTTTTGTTCAGCTTTGGGTAGTGAGTTGAAAGGGACTGGAGGTAGAAAAATAAGAGAGTCACTATATTCAGAAGTCGTAATGGCTATTTCTTTAACTATAAAGGTACTTTTTTTATAGCGAAATCCTTCCAAATCTATGACGACTGATCGTTCGCTCAACGTTCTAATAACTGATAGAGTTCTGGTCTGGTTAGTTTGACGAATAAACAGAAAGTAATACCGCTCAAATGACCAATCAGACTGCTGTTACACTTCCAGGGTAACATATAGCAGTAAGTGGGACCCGTGGTGTAAACTTTGTCAACAAAACCTGCAGCTTCATGTAAAATTGCATGCAGACGTAGTATTTTTGAATCTTTTAAATATTTGTCCAAGGAAGAGTTGTCTATGCCAATAAGACCTCCATATGGTCTAAGTTTAATAGCTACGTCATAATTTAATTCGTTTTCACTGGAAAAGAAAAACAGAGAACATGCAGCCAGAAAGTAATTCCGACGGTCAGAATTTTCCGGATAGGTTTTTTTCACAGTCAAATAAATCTCATGAATGATTTCCAAGTCTGTTGAGGTAACTCTACGTTTTTCCAATTTCATTTTTTTTCCAACACTCTTTGAGCCTGCTGACTTTCAAAACAGTGGAAATAAAAGTAATCGTTTAGATGCCAACAGCTGATATCTACAACTCGGTGATATACATTGAATTAGTCCATCAGCCTTTTTGATATATTTTTAACATTTTAGTAAACATAAATTTTCAGTCTGCGCTTTATTTTTTTCTTACAATCAGCTAGTGACAAAGTCAAACAAGAAGTCAAATCTATTCAATTTCAAAAGTAGTATTCGACAAATCAAATGTTTTTACCAGTTTTGTTTCCAAATCAAACTCAAAATTTTTAAACTGGTTGAAAATAACACGCAGCTAAAAGTACAATTTATTCTGTCTGTGTTTTCGTGATAAGCGTATTTTAAACTCGGGGAAAATTTAGAGAAAGTTTAGCACAATTATCACCTTCCGAAACCTACTGTTCCAAAAAATTTTATTTGATGAACAATTTCATGTGATTTAAAATGTTAATTTGCTTGTTTTAGATGCCATCTTACCTCGAAACAGTTAAAATCCCTTTCGGCGGTTTAGAGCTGATAAACATTCCTGTGGAGGAAATCCACGTTATATATAAGGCTGGGCCCGATCCTGAGGTATTACTGGTGAAGGAGCTCTGGGTCAAGCCACGCCAGTGGGCCAAGGGGAAACCCCTTCCCCGGACTTACCTCCCTGGGTCGCCCGAGTGGGAACTCCTCTCTGAGCAACTCAGGGACGTGGTCGCCCTCGGGGGTTGGATTGCCTACAGGGCTTCTGACCTGCTGGTGCTGATGGACAGCCCAGCCGCTTCTATTTATTCATACCTCTTCCAATAAAGAAGAGGTTTTTTTTCTTTTTTACCAAATTTTATTTTTTTAGTCCCCTTCCTCAACATCCCCCTTTCTTTATTATTTGTTTATTATTATTATTAATATTACCACCAATCTTTCGACGAGCTCAACTTTCGGGTAAGTCATTCTTATTTTGTTCAAATAGATCATTCATTTTGCCCAAATAGAGGTGGCGGCCGCCGCACTTGACCAATTTTTCTTTCTTCGAGATTGAGCAATAAAACATGCAATTTTGAAGGAAATCGTTCACCGCAGCCAACAGTTAAGCTACGCTGCCAAAATATTGGCTTTCCTATATACCATATAGTTTGGTTGCGTATAATAGGTATATAACGTCATTTTACATGTAAACAAGCCAATACCCCCAAACTTTAGAAGGGAAAACATGCACCAACCAAAACTTAATTCCATTCCCATTTCCATAAAGTGGCTGGAAAATTACCAATTTTAACCCCCCTTAAAACATGCGTGCCCGAAAAAGTAGGGGCTTTAACCCCTTTGGGGGTTAAAAGTGGTAAGTACAACGGCACATCGAAAAAAAGGGGGGTTTAAAAGTGGTCATTTTCCTAGCCACTTTTACTATACTACTCAGGACTGAATGAATGACCTTCAAGCTGCTTTTTTCTCTAGATTTAGACGAGTTTCAAATAACATGCGTATCTTCTACTGAACTTTTCATCCATTTTATCAACACGTGGTACAATTCGAGCTTTTCGAGTTCTATGCTGTAAGTGGTTACGCGTCTTACCCGTTTTAAGGATGTTAAGATTAGCGCTATATTACTTTAGAAGGAAAAGCGTCTTTAACTCAAGGGAAGGAGGCTGGTGAAGCAATTTGTACCTCTCAATTAGTATCTAGTCATTAGCCTTACGCTTAGAAATGAAGTTTGACGACGATCAGAACGAGAATAATTTTTCCTCCATGTAGTCAGTTGGGTTGCGTCTAGAGTATAGGATCGCACAAATAATCTTGCCCACTTCGCAACTTGCCGTTTGGTTTTACTGCAATGTCTACTTGTTGAGTTTTTGATGACTTCGTTCCAAATTACAAGGTCGTTACGGTGAGAAAAGTAGCGATGAAGGTAGTACTAAACTGTTTCCTGAGAATTAGCGTTTAAGTTCAAATTTAATCCTGGTTTCGTACGGTAAACATATTTGATGCGCTTCTGCGACGGAGCGGGAAGTTTGCGAAGCGCGTGATCTAACGAACTATCTCCTAGTACTGAGTACCGAACCCCAAGAGACCTGATACCACAATGCGACTGCTGGAAAATAAATAGGTCTGTTGAACTCCAACAACACACAATTTTTTGACAATTTACCAATTTTTTCACAAATTTTTTGGTGAAATTTGATCAGC